TTGGGGTTGAGGCATTTGGCCTCCAAACAGACTCATGGTCAAAGACAGAGATGTACACCTCGGTTTGGCTTTCCCCGCACCCGAGTGTACTGAAAGCCAATGGAGGAGGCCAAGGTCGCCTTTCGCTCCCACTCTTGGAAGAAGCTGGAAGGATCCCCGAGTACCCCTTTGTCAACGGAGCCATAAAAGCCATGCAAGTCGGCCTGTTTGGGGCAGGTGGGGGGGGGCGAGGGAGGAAAAGGGAGGTGAGGGTTTATGGGGGGGCCTATTGTTAGTTGCTCTCTGTGCAAGGGGAACCGGAAAGATAATCTTCCTAGAGCATTTAAGACTCTAATTAGAATCTTCCTTCTCTGACAAGGGTTTTCCTTCCATTGTTGTGTGGTCTCGCTGCCCTCCCCATGCAACCTGGACTCCCGGGAAGGGGACAGGACTGGTAGGGGGTATGTGCCAAGGGTCCAAGAGTCCGAGGGGCCGCCCTGGGGGGGGGGGGGCTCCCTGGGCTTATCGGCCATCTTGGGGGCAGTGGAGGCTATACAGCCTCTGAGAGGCATCCTTGAGGTTTAGGGTCTCCTATCGTTTCCGGTGGGGTGCAGGGCCCATGACTGAGCCCAGTAACCAAGTCGGCGCCCGCTCCCCAGGTTCTTGTGCCTCCCTGCCTCTCCTCGCTACCCCCCCTCCCACCCCCTAGCTGGCTGGCGTGGTCCTGCCACTTCCCGGTTTACTCAGCATTCCGAGGAGGGGGTAGAGCCCGAGAGTGGCTGCCTGCTGCAGAAATAAGTCTCCTGGCAAATTAGCTGCAGGATTTAAAATCCATTTTTATTCTGCCCATTATTAATTATTGTTATTTCTGCTGTTCATTACCAGCTCGTTTCCTTGATCAACTCCCGGAACAAAGGCTCGTCAAGGCCTCCCCCTCCCTAGGGAGGAGCCCACAGGACCACCACCGCGGGGACCCCAGCCCCGAGTGCCCCTCCCGGGACTGGAGATGCGGAGCCCTTCGGGGCTCAGCGAGGCCTTTTCCCTGCTGGCTTCAGAGATGGCTCTCTCACCCCTGCTACCCTGTCCGGAGCGGCCCAACTAGGAAACCCGTTCTTCTAATTTTGTACTTTGAAAACCGATCCACAGTTCACACGCATACGGTAAAGTCCACCCATCTTCAGTGGATAAGTCTATGGCTTTTTCCGTAAGTATAGATCCATGACCTCCCAGATCAAGACATAGGACATTTTGCCAACACCCGTCCCAGAGGCTCTCTTTACACGCCTTCCCGATTGACGTTCCGCCAAAAGGTAACCATTAGTCTGACAGTATCTTGGTATGAATACATCGTGGTCGGTGATCTGTCCTTCTCTCGGTGGGCATTTCGCTTGTTTCCAGTTTGGGGCTGTCATGAATAAAACTGCCGTGCGCATTTGCGTGCACGGCTGTTGGTGAACGCAAACGCTCATTTTTCCCGGTTGTGCACTGCCTCGACACGAAATTGCTAGATCACGGGATATGTAATAAAGCCATGCCGGGTTTTTAAGAGTAGGCCAAGAGAGGGCAATGCTTGTGCCAAGGGCCTAAAAAGCGAATGCCTCTTAGGCAGCATGTGCGTGGGAAGATATTTTGCTCATGCGCGTGGTGAATTGTTACAAATATGGCCCCCGATGGATCATACCTCGCGGTAGCCACATCCATACATAGTCCCCTTTCCACATTGACTTTGGGTTTAGCCACATGACTTGCTTTGGCCCACGGGACACCGGCAGACACGATGCAAACGGTATATGAGACGTGCTGGGGCACGGAGACGACAAGACCGCATGGGGAGGATGATCTAGATTTGGGGGACTGGGGTGTGGGATTTGGGGGATGGCTAGGATCACCTAGCCTATACAGAAGCTGGTGCCAAAAAGGGGGCTCAGCCATAACGAAAGCCCTAAAATATACAGTCCTGGTTTAGGGTCAGGTGGCTAGGACTGAGTCTTGGGGCGCCTGGGTGGCTCAGTCGGTTGAGCGACCGACTTCGCCTCAGGTCACGATCTCACGGTTTGTGGGTTCGAGCCCCGCGTCGGGCTCTGTGCTGACAACTCAGAGCCTGGAGCCTGTGTGGGATTCTGGGTCTCCCTCTCTCTCTGCCCCTCCCCCGCTCATGCTCTGTCTCTCTGTGTGTCAGAAATAAATAAACATAAAAAAAAAAAATTAAAAACTAGGACTGAGTCTTGCTGGTGTCCCCGCTGGCCTGGAGGGCACATGGCACTGTCGCTGTGACCTCCTCCTCCCCCGCCCCATCTTCTGCTCACAGATTCCATCGCGTTCTTACCACCAGCATCTGTATGAGGCTCCGTCGTACAGTTTTTCTTCATCTCTTCTTCCTTTCTCTCTCCCCCTTTTTTTTTTTTTTTTGGCCGTCCTAACTCCCAACCCC